CGGGGTCCATCGACGGAGGCGAGATTGGATCTTTATCCTTGTTTTCAGTGGGAGACACAGGTGTGGGGGCCTCGTCCTCCAACTCTTCCTTCGAGCAGGTGTTGAGAATGGCGATGAGCATATCCGTGATTTTCTCACCAACGAACGGCAAGGACCACGTGAAAACATCCATGAAGTTGGGCAGCCAATATGGGTGAGGAGTGCAGTTGAATTGGCGGATGTTCATCACGTTGTTCTCATATTTGAGGACAGCCGCCTTGTTGTTGTAAACATCTAGGTAGTTGGGAGCACTGAAAATAGTCATAACACTCGGGAAGCCGGTGGTTCGCGTCTTTCTGTACATGCGATATCCGGCATCCTGAGCCTCATGTGCTCTGATGATGGAGAGCAAATTGTTCTTCTCCAAAAATGCGCATGCCGCAGGATAAGAGAAAAAGTAGGAGCAACCACGGACACTGTTATGAATGAAGAAATCGCCTGTCTTTTCTTGACCAAATTCTTCCAGAGGGTCAGCCCAAAGAATGTCGCACATGAGCCCGTGGGTTGGGGGTTCGCGGAAGCGATCAATCTATGTTTGTAAGCTTTCGGCTAATACCATCAAAATGGGGGCAGGGCATATACATACAGCCTTGATGTCTTCGAGGGTATGCAGCTCAGGGCTGAGACCACCGTGAATGCAAAGGAACTGTTTGTTCATAACTGCCGCCAGCGGCAGCGCACAGAAGGATTCCAGACATGCCTCGTAGATCCGTTCACTATATTTGTGCTTGCACTCCAACTTGAAGGTGAAGTAGTCCGTCAAGTGGCGACATTCGTGATTACCCCGCAGCAACCAGAGTGAATCGGGATACCAGATCTTCAACGCCCAGAGATAGAGGACGCACTACGGAGACAAATGGTCAGGGTAGTTCTTCTAGATTTAGGGAGACTCGGATGACCTACCTCAATACTGAAATAACCACGGTCCACATAGTCACCTAAAAACAAATACCTCGTTTCTGAAGGGTCGCCGCCGACCTCGAACAGCTTCATCAAATCGTAGTACTGGCCGTGAACATCGCCACACACTGTAATGGGCGCATCCATTTCGAGCAAATTTGGCTCAGCTTTCAAAACCTGTGTACCAGCGTGGATAATCCATAGTGCCTGTTCTTCTGAAAGACGACCTTCACGGTAGAGGTGTTGCTTGAGGTACTGAAGATTGGGCTTGGATGGATCCTCAGGCGACCAAAACATATCATCCGGAGGATAGCTGAGAGCGGGCGCTTGCACCTCTAAGACCACGAAATACCGTTAGCGATCAGGTTACCACATCTTGCGAAAGCGACCGAGACCACGGCGGCATTACCTTTGACCACCCTCTCCATTGTCGACACCTGCGTGTTGTCCTCCATCGTGTGCAATGTGAAATCGATCTCCGGGACCGGCTGCTTGTCGGTCACGGCGCGCGCTATAGCCCGATCCATTTTGGCGGAAACTGAAATGTAGTTCGAATTTTGAGTTCGGAGTAAGGGGGCGAGAGGGGATGGGGGATGGGGGAGAGAATCGCGGAGGTGTGGCGGGGGTGAGTTTCACCGCGGGATAGAACTCCCACGACGAAGAAGAGTATAAGGTTGATAGAACTCTTGAGTTCTATAAGGGACTAAAGAAAATAGAGCCCAGGGGGTTAAAATAGGTGCTGGGGATTGTGTGTTTTGGGAGGGGGAAATGTGAAGTTGGGAAAAAGAGAAACAAATTGGATAAGCGGGTTCTGGGCCGTCCTAAGATCGGTGGGTCTCACACCAACCTCGATCGTAACTATATCGGAGTTTTTCCTTATTTGGTTTTCCTGTATGAGGGTAAAGTGATTGATATCGGGATGGTGCGAGAGAGTAACGGGAATCAGATCAATTCAGCCTCATGTCAACATGAGAAATGGGTGCCTAAGGCAACAAGGGTCCCTTTTTTTACCCCACGCTATCAGATTTCTACCTGAGGTAGTTTCGATTACTTCTACGGACTACATTTTCAGCTAAACAGTGTGGGCATTTAATCTTAATATCAATGATTCCAGCTTCGACTTTTCATTTGAATCTGCATTTAGATTTAGCGTTTATTGCGTCTTGTCCCGATTTGCCTAGACCGCTAGACTTGAGGCATGCAGGATTTATGATTTGCATAGGAGAATTTCTCATACCTGCAGCCATTGGACTTGAATATGCTTCACTTGATGTGGGATCTTATGAAAAGGATATCCTCGCATGATATGATGAATATACAGAATCTCAGACCTGCTGAAATACTATAAATCCCTCAACAATGCTCCGTGGTTGATATGCCTATGTATATATATTTACAGCATACCCTATTTATTAACACCTAGGGGCCCGAAGGAGACTTACCCCAGCTTTACTTTCTCCAGAGTCCAACAGCATTTAAGTATTAAGAAAGAGGTACACTCGGAGCATATATTGACACTATCACTAAAGATGGTTAAAAGTTGCATTTGGATATCTAAGGGTTTATAATTAATAGCTGGTTACAGGTAATTTCTAAAGCCGGTTTTATTAGGCGAAACGGACTTGTTTAGGTGTCTTATTACTTCCAATCAATACGTTGAATAGATGGAAATAAACCATTCGGGTCAGAATGAATGAACCTCTCTGTGTATAATCCTAGATCAACAATAGCGTTGAAAATGAAATCTATCAGCTCTGCTAGTCCCACTGCTCGTCCCAAATCGTCGTCGCGATTCTCTCCAGTTGCTGTTATAAGATCTCGAGATCCTTCGATAAGTTGGCTAGAAACGGAAAAGACTTTTAGAGGGGATAAGGAGAGGGTGGCCACGTTGAGCTGTCCCCCTTGTTTAGTAACCTAGCCTAGGAGCGCTGGGCTTTGTTGTTTTGCCTTTCCCACTTTTTAATCCGGATTTCTGGCCGGGACCTATTGATCTGTAGTGTTAAGCAGATGTTCGCATTGCCGTCATCAGGGTTCAACTAAAATCGGACATCAGAGTTCAATTTCGAGTCCGATTCTGAGTACGTTACTTTAAGAGTAACCGATGGTTTGCGGGGTTGACTAGGTACTCTTCTTTTAGGTATCTAGCTATAATCGGGTTGTTTTCCTCGATCCTCCCCTTTAATGATTATACCCGGAAGTCCGAGGAGAGATTTTTTCAACCCCATTAGTTCTAGGGTCTCGCGAATCATAGTGTTCACGATATCCGCTACTACAGAGTGTGGGAATGAAGAAATAGTGACTAGGAGAAGTTGTTCTTTTGTATCGAATGAAGTACCACGCTTTGAGATGGAAGGGTTTTCGTCTTCGTTCCGAGGATCGAAACTGTTTTCGATGGTCTCTTTACTTGCGTGAAAGAGGAGGAATTCGCTTAAATCAATCGAGGACTCGAAGTGAGAGGATTCGGTTTGGAGAATATTAAAGAATTGCGACTTTCTATGATATGTGTATCTTTTAATCAAAGGGGGTACCTAGGTAGGTCCTCAAGGAAGCTGCTATCGAGACTAAGGTCGTAGCTGCCTTGCTTGCTTCTCCGCTATCTCAGCTATTGTGATAGGAAAAATTAACAAGCAAATATTTAGATGTAGAGGTGTCTACCTAGGTATATACTAGATGACACAAATTACTGTTCCAGTCTATTTTAGGGTCTTTATATAGCCATCAGTGATCTCAGGGTGATGAATCTCGGAAAAAACCGGCCGACATAATCTCCTCAATGTTCTTGCACAGAATAACTATACTTTCTTTTACCACTTCGTATATACCTAAAAAGAGCTCCAACTTGGTCTGATTCAAGATGGGAGTTCAAGACGACCTGAATAGCTCCTCGGCCCTTTTAGATATTTCACCGACTCTTTGTGGGTCTTCTCCGCTAACCGGAACATAACTCTCATTGGCTCATATTGCCCGTAGTAATTTGGCTCCACAAATGTTGTTGTTGTTAATTGAAGCCTGACGATGCTTAAAGATGTCCGAATACTACCTAGATTATAAGGCTAATAAAATTAATACATTCTATTGAATCTAAATTGAGTCTGAAGTGGATCTGAATTGAATTATACTAAATTGTATTGGAGCTAGTTTAGGTAGCCCAAGCGAGGATAGGTGTCCACGGTTCTAGATTTCAACTGTATTGACATCCACTCTTCCTCGTTATATTCTGAGTTCAGTGAGATGTGTTGAACGGAGTCGTGGAATGGATGGGAGAAACCTCATTGCAGAGGTATCGACTGGTGCAAAGAATGGATAGGCTGTGCTTGATAGCAAGAGGCTTCCAGAAATATTGGAGGCTGGGAATTGACTGGTTGTGCCCAGGCGTATCCTTCTTGAGCGATACCTAAACACCCACCAGGCAAGCTGCTAAATCAGCCCGGCTCAAAGACCCATCTTGTGCTGCTGCTATTCGGCCATGGAACTGAGGGATATAGTGTTGAGGTTGCGGAATCGATCCTTCATATAGGAGACTTACTGTTAGGCAGTCTACAGAATGTAGGGCCTAGAAAGTGAGGAGGAAGAGAGTTGATTGCTATGGAGAGAGGAAACTGCTAGTTATCTACCGCGAGGGGTTAATGCCTGAGGCACCAATAGGGGGCCTAAGGCCACAACAACACTTTAACGTCGGGTGCTACAAAACAGGTCCCAAGTGAGTGACCGTCTTCGCCACTTCTTGCTACTCCGGCGGTTGGCTAGTACTCCCCGACATAAATCAACAGTAGCTGAACGCAATAGCAATCATAGCAAAGTGAATTGACTCTCATCACATGGGCCTAGGAAGTGAAAGACATAAGACCTGACACGCCACTCGTTGATGCGAAAAATCAATATGTTAAAAATAAGAGGGGTTAAAACCCAAATCTATTAATTTCTACCGGGATTTGGACGACAGAGTAAAGGCCAATACTAGTGTTAACTAACTATAAGAACTTGGACTATGATTTCCAGATCACGCGATATGGGTCACCCTTGCTTCTCATTTCACCAAGTAGATCCACCTATTTCGAATTTTAGTTGTTACACTTGCCCTTCTATAAGTGTTGAATCCAATTAGCAATGATGATGGCGGAAAAAGGAAATTAAGCACACTCACGCAAACTTCAAGGCACTTCTTCTGCTCCAAAGCGAGGACTGTCGAGTTACAGGTAACATCGCACTATGACGATTAGGATTAGAGAACAGAGTCTATCATTGTTGCCATTAGCCACATTCAATAACATACCGCAATGTTGCAAGCCTTGTTTCCGAAAGAGGAATCAGCTTCGACCTCAGGTGCGGCTTCGCGAGCCTTCAGGGGCTAGATTTAAAACGGTCAGTGATTTGATAAGATAGATAGAGAGCTGGGGTGATTTACACCGAGGTCGCAGGCCTTGTCACAAGCCTCCTTGGCAATATCTGCAGTTCCGACAGTCTGTTTGAAAAAGGGTTAGTTGTAACCTAGAATATATTCCCTTACTAAGAACTTACACAGGCAGCCTTGCAAACTTGCTGGCAGACCTTCAGCTTATCGCCGGTAAGGGACCAGCAGGTACGCTTAGCGAGGTGGCCGTTGACTTCCTCAAGGGTTGGTGCGGCTATGGCCATAGCAATGAGAGGAGCAATGAGAAGCTTGTACTGCATCTTGGATATTGGATTGGATTGGAAGAGAGTGGAAGGTTGACAATTTAGACTTGAAGATGTCTGAGGATCCGGGCTGGTTGGTTTTCTTCAGGCTGGAGGAAACGGGCCCCTTTTTATATCTCTTGTGAAGGGATAGTGTCCCATTGACTTCGGTGTTATCTCTCCTTTTCTCCGCTGTACTTCGGAGATGCTTTTGTTGCGGAGCAAGGATATCTCGGGATACTGATTATCCGCGCAACGCTCGAGTCCATGGCGGCAATCCTTCAGACTTCTTCGGCTGAGAATGTTTCAAATAAGATACTACTAGATATAGCTATGGAAATTTACTGTTTTGTAACTTGGATAGGTGTCGTGGGAACATCATGCCGTGAGATTCCTTTGCGATAATGCTATGGAGACACCACGTTCAGTGGTCATTTGGCTAACAATTCTCAGAGGCATATGCTGATGACTGTCATCATAGGGTACATATGTGTATACAAGTGTACTATAGTTTTGAGTAATGGATAACGAAACGCATTATCGTAAAGTGAGGACAGAGGGATGAATGGCTCATACAGTAACTCCACCGCAGCAGGAATATCATCCTTTGAGCACCGGTGTATGATGGCAGAGCACTGGTCTACTAGTAAAAGACCCTCTAGACCCATCCCTGAGCAACACCGTGCGGCAGATCTTCACGCTATATTCCATGTAGGAAGTGCATGCAGTGGACCTAGTCTACTATGTTTACTGTGATGCTCGCTTTGACGTAGGCAGGATAGTCTGGGCGACCGATTTACGCAAGACCACAATGAACCCGACGATCTAAGCACCTAAAGGGAGAACGCCATAGTTAACTAGTTACTACTTACGGTCTCCGTCTTATGTCATACGCTACGAGCATAGTGCCTTATGGTTATCAATCAAATGCATACAGCGGCTTCTAGACTGGAAAAGAGACATTGAGATATATTAATTATCCTGATAACTAAATGTAACTTTAACATATATAGAGAGAGTATACCTAGGGAAGCCTTTTTGCAGAGCTAGAGCTGAGATGCTTGAAGGTAGTTAAGATAAATGGCTATTATCTCATCGTGCCTAGGACATTAAGAACTATGTAGTAGTGTTGTTAGCCGGCGGATGAGCTGTTTCACTGACCCTTTTCTCCCACAAATGATTATTACTATCTTGATAATACCAAAGACTAGTACATAGGACATGAGCAAGAATGGTTCAAGCAAGAGCCCGAGATATCAATGTTCACTAGCTCTATAAAAAAGCGACCATACTGACAATCGGCCAAGACGAAGGCCCACTTGTAATGTATGGTTTCTGCGGCCCCTGCGTTCACGCTACGAGCCGTAGCGGAGCAATTATGAGACAACATAAAACTAAGCTAATTAGTTAGCCCTAGAGGGCGAAAATGATCTACACAAAGGCGACTAGAAAGCTTATCTACTACATCACTAAGTGGGTAAGAAGGATTGCTAGGTAGAAACCGTTAATATAACGTGATGAGCAATCTATGTAAGATTACTACTGAGTGTGGGTAAAAGAAGGAGAAAGATTCTTAATTGCTAAAACTAATTATGCAGGGGTTTATATACCCTGCAAACCATCTGAACATTGCTCACAAATAGCAAACAATTATCAAAAGCAAACAAAAGAAGGCTCAGTCTGCAGCAAACAATCATGCATGCATGCCTGGGAGTTCAACATAACGGAAGTCGAAAGGAGCCGAATTTAACACGGGCCGTCCCTATTATTATTATAAATTGACATACTGCCGATGAGCGAATATTTTAAGCTCCAAAGCTCGAAGGAATGATGTTTCACCGAGGAAATTCCCAAAGCTTACCCTCTAGTTGGACTCTGACTGTAATGTCGGTCAAAATGATCTGCACAAAGGCTACGTACACTTCCTTGACAGTAAGACAAGAAAGCTTATCATTAAGTGACTAAGTGAGCGAGAAGGATTGTTAGGTGGAAACCTGATTCTTCGAATTTGCCACCATCTTCTATGTGATAAATCGTACCCAGTAGTACCCTCTCTAGTGGTATTAAAGAGCTTTAACAAATCCGTCTTAATTCTCCTACACTGTTATCTTCTATAGCTCTGCCGCGCTTCCTACAATGGCACCACCTGGCGTGTTCTTTTCCTTAAGGCTTTCACAAGCGATATATGCTGTTGCTACATTCGCGCTCTCGAGTATCGGTAAGCAATAAAAGGGGTTTTTGCAGATTTGCAATGATTGTGACTAACATAAGCAATATCAAAAGCTGCACATTCATACTTTACTTCGTTCGAAAACGTCCCGTGGGAAATCACACTTGCGTTATTCTCCTCGTTCCTCTCACTCATAGCTGTCGGCTACCTAGCCTTTATATCCCTTTCACCCTCGAAAGGTACATTAACCTACTATTTTGACACAAGCTGTGAGCTAACCATTGCCTAGCACTGAGCAAACCCTCCTCCTTTACAGTCTACTGGCTTGTCTCTTTTGTATCTCTGGCTGCTTTCATCTGCCTTGCTAAGTTCTTGGCCGGAGCCAATGAGTGCGAAGGCGCCCTGTGTACGGTGACCAAAATAGTAACAGCTGTGGTATTCTTCAGCTATGCCGTGTGGGTAACTGCCACTACGCTTATCGGAATAGAAATATCGAAAGACAACGGAAGAGCCGGAGAGGTGGCTCAGGAAAAGCTGACGGCTCTCTCGAATGACTAGACAGTTCAGTGTTTGGTTGAGTGCACAAAGCCAGACGCTAGAATCCGTTTACGCGGGATATAAAGGACATTGATTTATCCATGTTGCGGTCGGGTTTCTCTACATAGCAAGGGGTGATGTCTTCAAACTAGATCTAGTATTATTAGGGAGCAATACTCAACATTGAGATTCTGTAAGGATCGCATGATTTCTATTCGTTGTACTAGCTGCGGCCTATAACTAGTTAGTTAGGCAATACTAATTGCATAGTCCGCCAAGTCCCCGTTTACTTAATAAGTTTGTTATACGCTTAGTGATCAGATCCTTAGCGAAGCTAAGGCTTATTTACCTAAGGTACCGAGACTATATAAACTCTAGTTATAAAGTGCTCGGGTGTTACTATATATCATGAGGGTATTCGCAGGTTGACGCCTTAGGCATGTCTAGCAGAACTTTAACCGGTTTGGTCGCTATCTAGATAATAATAGACATAAACAAATAGGTTAAAACGATGTGCTAAACTCGGACGATAGATAATTCTATAAATCTGGTCGATATTAGCTAGGAAAACATTTAGGAGTAAATGTTACAACCTGCCCCTGGACTGGCGAGTTACACACTCGGCCAAAAGACCATATATCTGAGCATTACGCCCAGATAGACCCAGGTTCCGATATATATAGTGCATGACATGACAGTGGATGAGTCTAGCGACAAACGACTATACCCCCATGCCTCATATTCTTTCGCTTGTGCCATAAAATCGCTAAGACGTTAAAACTAGGATTAGTTCGGGCTGAATGAAGGGATATTAGGGGCACTTTTAGGTTTTGATACGGCTCTCTTCCGAGACCAGTCCCGCCGACTGAGGTTGTGTTGGGTGCCTGGGTGCCTGAGGCCCAGCACCCACTTGGTACTTTATGTAGTAGATAGTCCTTCTCCTCTCCGTCCAGCGCGAATCCCACAGTGTTGTTTCTCCATATTGCAACCCCGTAGGATTTCCATCAGGTTGCTTCGACACGTAAGAACAGGCATAATCGCCTCGCTCTCACAAACCAAACATAGCGGTTGTCGGCAGTCACATTTGACCTTGCGACTACGGCACGATATACAAGAGGTAATGAGACGAGACAAGCTATTTAGGGCTGGAGACGGAATGAATTCCTTAGGATACTGTGTGGATGAGGAGTGAAAGGGGGGGGGTGCATACATGGCGAAAGAGACGTGGAGGAAAAATCGGAAATGCGCCAGTGCAAGGTAATATTAAAGCATCCGCACGCTGCTAGCGGCAGCAGCTAGAGCTGTTCCCCCAGGGGTGGATGGAGTGGTAATTCCTCAAGCGTGTTTAATTAGAAGGAGTTCCACTTTTGACGCGAACAATAGCCTTGATGAGGTGCAGAGTCTGTGGAATTTAGTGACATGAGAGGCACCCATAGTGTTGTTCCATCCAGGGATATTATTATTCGAACGCCGTGTTCATAGCAAATAGGGTTAGCGTCGAGGTGGAGGGATTTTACAGCTCCAGAACGCCAAGACTCGCCAAATCTGGAAACTATGTGATTTACCAGTTGACAAATGGTATTAGGTGAGGTGAAGCAATTTTATACTAGTACAATTTGTCATTTTCCATTGGACCATGAGTATTTTGAGATGCCCAGATACTACGTAGTAATTAGGAATACATATATAACTAATGTTCCATCCAAAAAGAACCAAAGAGTATGTTTGTATATACCAAGCAACAAATATTGATTTCTTAACTATCGGTAATATTTACCTGTGGTCAGGGAATCAACCATTAGCTCCAGGGGGGTATTCATTGAGTTCCACTCACGTCTTGACAACGTCAAATCCTTCCTCCCAGTTATCCAGGGCCGCCCGAATCTCCGTGGCATAAGCGGGGATACCACCAGAGTAGCACACTGGCTCAGAAACCTTGCCAGGGATGCTGCCGCCCATGTACGTCGACTGTGTCGTGGGGAAGAGAGTCCTGTTATTGAGCTCCACGACATGGTTCTTCCACTTATCAGCAGCCTCAATCTTGGGATTGATATACTTGATGTTATTGGCCTCAATCTTGGCAATGGCGTCGGAAATCCACCGGCCTTGGACCGCGACTGATGTGGGGCCATTGCTGAGGAGAGTCGGCCCGTGTGCGCCATATATGTGGAACATATTGGGGTAGCCGCGGACGGTGGTACCGAGATAGGTCTTTGCGCCTGGAATCCATTCCTTCTCGAGCTCGGCGCCTTCGATGCTCCTCAGGCCGAGCTGGGTCATGACGCCGGTAACAACGTCCTGTGAATATCAGCACATTGTGATATTGGTGGTGTATCAAACAGGACTTACAAATCCAGTCGCGACAGCAATAACATCAAGTTCATGATGAGTTCCGTCCTCGAGGGTGATACCAGTCTCGGTGAACTCCTTGATCGGGTTATTATTGATGTCAACCAGGTGTACCGATTCCCGATTGAACTGTTCGTAGTAAGTCCTTTCAAGACATGGCCGCTTGATACCGAAATAATGCGGCATTTTCCGAGGTGCAAGCAACTCCCTCGTAACGGGGTCACCGATACGATCACGGGTCTTCTTAGCCCAGAAATTGTACGACTCTTTGTTGGCCTCAGGGTTGATCAAGTTATCCTTGTACAGAGCAACCCAATAGCGGAAGCCACCCTCCTTCCAGACGCTCTCATAGAATGCCTCGCGTTCCTCGGGTGTGTCGTCAAAGGTGTTGCGCTCGCACCAATCATACAGGAAGCCGGCAAAGTTGGTCTCACGGTACCGGAACAGCTCTGGGTAGTAGGGCTTGATGCGCTCCTGTTCCTTAACAGTGAGGTCTCTCTTGCGCATGGGTACGGCGAGGTTAGGAGTTCGTTGGAAGACCTTGAGTTCAGCAGCCCCAGGGCCCCAAGCCTGCGTGATTTGAACACCCGAGGCACCGGTGCCGATGATAGCACAGCGCTTGCTTTTCACGTTGATTTCCTCCTCCGGCCAAAAGGATGAGTGATGCACGATACCCTTGAATTTATCCAAGCCAGGCCACGGGGGAATGTAACGTTTAGCGGCCTATGCAGTTTATTAGTAGGTATTAATTAGACTGAGGGGTGTAATTACTTACAAAGCCGGTTCCAAGGACGAGGTATTTGGCCTTGGTCGTCCGGCCATCTGCAGTTTTAATACTCCATCTTCCCTCGTTCGTATCAAACTGAGCTCCAATGACGACGGTGTTGAAAGCGCAGTCCTTCTTGACGCCAACTACCTTGTCAACGTGATCGAAGTAATCTCGCAGGTTTTGGTAGTTAGGGTAGTTGTTCGGCCAGTTCCATGTGTTATATACCTCGGGCCAAGAGAACTCGTACTCTGGGACTTCGGAGTCAACGCCGGCGCCGGGGTAGCAATTCCATCGCCAGGTGCCACCCGTGTCGTTGCCGGCCTCGAAAATGACCGTCTTCAGGCCGCGATCACGAAGTGTCTTGAGCATGAAGATGCCGGCTACCTCGTCAGCTTGTTGGTGAATGAAGCCTGGAACAAGGGCTTACCAAAACCAGCACCAACTACCAAAGCATCGACCTCGAGATTCTCTGCATATGGCCCAGTTTTGTCGGCATGAACTTCGGAGTAGTCGGTGAGCTCAGTGTTATACTTCTTCGGCCTGGGAACCGTCTCTCCTATGCTTCCCATTTTGACAGGATGTTTGTATTAAATATTGAAATGATCAAGTGCTGCTGTTGTTATAACCAAATAATAAGACTGACTGTTGGAATATCATAAAGCTTTCTTTCCCGGGCACCTCCTCCTACTTATACGTATCCTCGTCCATGTCTTACTGCGGATGTCAGCATATCCTGGCAACAATATCCTACTCGGTGCCTATGATAAAGTTAACCGCAGGGTACCCCTCCTTCATGTACCACGTGGGGTGGACTTTTGGGACCCGGAACTTCAGTCCATTATGGGTTGGAATCCGAGAGTCTCTTGTTTACATCTCCTAATCTACCTTTCTCTCTATCAATATCTCCTTCCTAAAGAGAGAGAAGATCTCTGTATAGCTTTATATATAGCTTAGGCGGTAATTTGAATACCTAAAAAAACCAGGGAAAAATGCATTAATTATATAGCTACGATAAATTGATATTTATATTGTTTGGTTCATAATGGGCCCCTATCATAGGCCTACATTATTTCTATGGTCCTATGCTCCGGGCCCATAATCCACCGATGGGCCGAGGCATAGGCCCCAAAATCAGACCATTTGGTGGGTTGGGTTGGTCTGGGCTATGGGGTCTGTGGGCTATCCTGAGGTCTATCCGAGACCTCCCGCCATCAACTCTCATGTCCTTCTTATAACCTCACTTTTATGGCGTCGTTTTTCATCCCGTAGAGCAAGAATAACAATCTGATTCTTCGGAAGAACCGAAGCGCTTCAAAGCTGCATTGTCGCTATTCCCACAAGAAGCTGCGGTACACGTCACATGCCCAGGTGAGACCTTGTATTCCTCAACGGGCCATCACAAAGTACCTATACTGCAGCTGTGATAGGATGGACCCCCCTCTCGCCGGTAGTTTCGGCTGTGACAATCTTGGAAACTTCCCCGCACTCGGTTCAGCAATCCAAAGCGGTTCCGCAAAGAACTTTGAAAGATTAGTTGGCCATGGCCGCAGAATTGGGGGAAATCCCCAGTATCACATATGAGTGGAAACGGAACCCGCCGCTGTTTGAAACTATTAAATAAGTCACGCTCCCATGATCCTGGTTGGTCTCTGTTCTTTTTAGTGTATCTGACCTTTTGTCGATACAGTATAACAGTCGCCTATTCTATTCCATAACAGCGGCAGCGGCGACGACATGCCTTTAAATGCGCAGGTGCATTCGCATCTCTGCGATATCATAGACAAAGCCTGCGAAGACCAAACGTCAGGTATTCCCGGGACCACGGTCGTGGTCGTTGGGAAAGATGGCAACGAACTATTAGCCCACTCCGCGGGTAATCGAGGTACGGGATCCAATGACCCCA